TCAATTTTAACAATGACACACACAATTTGATTTTGAAGTTAAAGGCGGAAATAAAATGATTTTGACATTCAATTAAAACACACAATTATAACAATGATAAGAATTTGGATTTTAATCGAGTTGGGATTCATGATTTCATTTGACTGTCACTAAATTAATAAAATGGTCACTTGTCATGTTAAATTCATTTTTTTAAATTTTGATTAATTACCTCTCTTAAGTTAAATTAACCCTAATCAGTTGGCTTAACTTACTATGGCCTGTTTGGTATCCATTAAAATAGCCAAATTAATTCCTTTTCCTACCGTTGGAAGTCACTTCAGCCATAATACTTGATCGGCCATAAGTGGTGCCGGCCCCACTAACAGTCTCCATTTTGATTAAAATTGGTCCAAAATCAGCACCAGACAAACTTTATATCTTTATCTCGATTAAGCACAATCAATAACATTAAATATTTATGAAAACAATTCAAAGGGTTACCTAGGGTTAGGAGTATATATTTCTATCTCCTACAAGAACTTAGGATTTCTATCATCTCGATCTAAAATGCGCAAGAATTTCTCAAATAATCGCACAAATCTATAATCATTTAGTGGCCTTAATAATGACAATGCACTAAGAACAATGGTAAAAACACAAGAACAAAAGCATTCATACATGAATAAGTAAATATAGAAATTAATAAAGCTAGGTCAAACTTCCTCAAGCATCCCAACATCAAAATGTTTAGCCTATTATATTTATAAGGCAGAAAGTGAAAAGATTAAAGAAATACATCACAACGGTTGAGAAAATATAATGTGACATACAAGGCACAAAAAAAAAAAAACCAGTCCATTAGTTGGATTCTTGAAGCTTGCTTAGTTTTGGTCTTGATTTCTCCAAGATTTCCTTCATTTTGTGTGATATTTCCTGCTAGGGTTTTTAAAAATGTGGAAGAAAGAATGGTGGATAAAGGTGTAAATGATGTTTAAAAAAATGTAAAAACCGTCCATCCAAATCGCAAGAAGAGTCCTCGAACTTTGAAGAACAAAAAATAAAAATAAAAATTGCTCAGCTGGTAGTAGAGGTGTCAATTCGGGTGGTCCGGCCCGAGTCGGCCTGCCACATATGAGCCCGGTAACGGCCAGTGTGAAAAAATGCCAGCCCGCTACCGGTTTTGGGTCGCGAGTCGCGTGGGTCGCGGTTTGTTCCGATTTGAGTATTTCTAATTACTATTATCAGATATTTATAACATAAGTACATCCCAACTAGGTTGGCACCTACTTTATTATAATTTATAGTTTAAGTACATCCCAACTAGTTTGACGCCTACTTAAGTTTTAACTATAATTTAGTTGTTCAAAAATTACATATTTTAATATTTATTTTCCAATCACTTCAGGAAGTGTAAGATTTTTGAAGTCTTCAACAATATCATCAATAATTTTATCTTGCTCTCTCCCCCCCTTTTTTCAAATTAAAATTTTTTTTTTTCATTGGCCAGTGGGTTAACCGTAGCCCGTGAAAGTGCAAGCCGTGAAACCCGCGGGTCACACCTCCTTGACCCTTGAACCGCCTGCTCGAGTCACGGATCGGCTAGCGATCCCTAGTCGATCCGTCCGTCTCGACACCTCTAGCTGGTAGGCGCCACTTCAATTTTCTTCTTTTTACAGCTTCGGTCCTCCAGATAATTGCACATCAGTTCCCTCAACTTTTGTCTTGTACATTTTGATCCTCAAATTTTGACTTTCCTTTCATTCATTCCTTCGAAAATTGCAACCCAAGGTTCCTAAACTTTCGGTTCTTGTACATTTGGTCCCCAAAGTCATATTGTTGTACACTTTTGGTCCTTCTTCCATCCTTTAGCTTTCTTCTCCTTCAATTTGGGATTTTAGCCTACAAAAGCCACAATTACACAATTATGAATAAGAATTCGCTCAATTTCATCAATAATTAGCTCGTTAAGTATTTAATAAGTGTGTAAAAACACACTTATCACTGCTCAAATCAACCAACCAACCAATCCAATCCAAACCAAATTTTAAGTTCAACTAGGTTGTATTCAGGTTGAAAAATAAAATTTGAGGTTGGGTTGGATTGAGTTTCGGGTTATGAATTAAAACTCAACCCAACCTAACTCGATAGATTAAGAATTTTATACCTAAAACGAAAAAATCTAAATAGACAAAATAGTGAAGACAATAGAAGGACTTAGAATGTATAAACGTTATTTTTGTTACATAAGTTGACTGCCATGAATATACTATTTACAAATGTAAAGTTAGTTGATGACAAACTAAAAATTAAGGACAGGATGATGATATAAAAGAATCCTAAAAAATTGCAAAAAAGAAAATGCTTTGTAATTTTAAACTTATTAATGCATTATTTCTAAGAAAGAATTCTTTATATAGGTTAAAAAAACACTAGTTTTCAAGTGGTTTCAAACTTTAAAAATTGTTCAAATTCAAAAAAAGAAAAAAAAAAAATTGATCCAACTTGAATTGTGTCGAAGTCCAAACCGACCCAACCAACCAACTCAAGCTTGATCAATTAAGGTGGGTTGGATTAATTTGATTTTAAATCAAATTGACCATATAGGACTGGACTTGAGTAGGGTAAAAAATCGACCCCATTTAACCCACATCCAAACTTAAAAATATCTCTCAGTGTTAAAGGTTAAGGAGATAAGTATCACTCCTATGAAAGGTTGGACCTTTAGCTCTATGTTTCGTAGCCATTTTTTTGGCATTTTTAGAAATTTTTTGCCTGTTGAAACAGTAACGTGAGCCCACTGCAATCGTCCTTTTTGGCTCAACAGAGAGCAAATTCTCTAAAATGACACTCTCAGCATACAATGAAATAAATGTAAAGAGGTACAAATGTAATTTCTCTTGGATTTATCAATAAATGTAGTCGTCGTAATAACTACCTAACATACATAATTTTTTTACAAAACAAATGAAAATGGCTTTCAAACAAACAGGGGCAAGATAAAAGTGATGTAATATTAAATATTTCTGGTCCAGACATTGGACAGACTAAAACAAATAAAATAAAGAAGCCTATACATGCATATTATAGATGAATTCTATTGGGAAAATGGAAAATTAGATAGTGGCATTATAGGATGTGGTTGTGTCGATCTGAAAAAAGATGAAAAATAAAGGAGGATTCATTTCATCGTCATCTCAACTCAATTCAATATTGAATTCAATAATTCCAAATAGATTATCTCAACGTGTCACTCTCATGCAACCCTACGTGTCGCCACATCCTTCATTTTCTGTTTTCCTTTTCTCACCACTCCAAAACCCTCAAACAATCCCAGCCTCCATTACATTACAGATTACATCTTCTGGCCTTTCTCTGCGTTTGTTGGTGTTCATATTTCAGAAGAGTTCATCTTTCGCTTTTGTCAGCAAATCCCACTTCAGAAGAATGTAACACACTCTCTCTCTCTCTCTCTCTCTCTATGCTTATGGGATTATCAGTTTGCTAAATCTGAGTATTTCAAGTAATATTTTCATTTATTTAGTTCCCTGGTAGGCTTGGGAGCGTAACTGAGGATTTAAGACCTTTCAGATAACTGTTACAGAGATCCTTTTTGTGGATCCAACTTGAAGGATCGACTGGAACTCAGTTCAGAATTGTTCATCCATAATTTGTCCGTACTTTTTCTACAGATACGTCCATAGAAATTTGATTGTAAATAGGGTGGGGAAAATGTAGATTTATATGTTTCATTAGTCATAGAACTTGCACCTTTACCTTTGCAATCATTTACTCACTGAACTTATACTTTTGTCACGTTTTAGTCATTGAACTTTACTTATTGAATTTCCAACTGCTCAAAAATTGAAAATGTTGAAGTATAAAATACCATACACGAAAATAACGTCATTCTTTCCTCTTGCATTACCTTGTGACGACTCTAAAAATTATATTGTGTTAGTATTGATTAATATTATTGACTCTAAATCAAAAATTTCATAGCATATTTGGGATATAATGGTTTTTATTTATTTTCTTGATTTGGGTCTATGATCTCAACCAAAATAAAGAAATAATTTCTCTATTTCATTTTCTTGACGTAACGGAATATTATGATTTAAATTAAGATTTATGTCAATTTGAATTCATTGAACATAGTTTTTGACGACTAGAAAAATTATATCTTCTTGGCCCAAATCACTATTCTCGTTTTAGATTTGAGTCTCATTATTTAGTCGATATTTATTTTATTCTTTTAATCTAGGTTGAATTTTTCAGAAAATCAACTTTACTCGAAAACATTATGAAGTTTAGTGACCACTCGAAGGCATTTTAAAGTTAAGTGACTAAAGCAAGACGGAGGTATAAGTTCAATGACTAATGAAACATGGCCAAACATGGTGAGCGAGTGATGGAGTGCAACATGTTAAAGTTCATGACAACTTGGATGTATTTTAAAGTTCAGTGAGTAAAACATGACGAAGATATACGTTTAGTGACCCATCGGAAGCATTTTAAAGTTCAGTGGCTAAAGTATGACATAGGTATAAATTCAGTGACCAATGAAGCATCTAACTCAGAAAATGTACAACTCGTTTTCATTTTGAATGAAACTTTTGCAGCTGTAAATGTAAACACACTTTTTTTTCCCTGGATAAAGGAAGCCCTTTGCATAGTGGCAAAAGAGTGGAGGGTTAAATAGAGAGTATGCCAATAGAAATTCTTCTTTTTGTCAATATATTGCTAAATGAGATGTCCCTTATTCAACGTGTTGCCTCTTTTGTTCTGGATGATGTTGCTTTGATTTTTGGGCTAAGCTTTAGTTATTTAACCGAGGAAAAATATTTGTTTCTTCTTGCTGCAACTAGTTTTTGCATTTATTTAATAAACTGTCTGATTGGGAGTGCTCCTTATTCTTCTCTTTTATTACGATTTCGTTGTGTAACTCGCATTTGACTTTTGGATTTTATGCAGACGTCTTGTGGCTAGTAAATAATTCAATGTAGTTTGCAATAGTGAATATGGCAGCAATCCTCGTAGAATTGATATGTTCAATAGTGGGGTTGGCAATAAAGCCTCTCTCACTATTTAAGCTGTCTTGTGTTTTTGCCGTGCGAAGCATCTTTATTGTAATTCAGACGTGGATAGAGCTGCTAAGAGCTTCTATCTATCTTCATATCATTATCTTCTGGAAGCTTGCAATCTGGACAATTGATATAGTAACTCTTCCTATGCGAGCAATTGCTGCATTGCAAAGGGAACGACTGGTAATTAACTTTTAACTGTTTTTTTGTTGCTTACTATTAATTGATGTAGCATAGTTTGTAATTGTAATGTTTTGAGGAGATTAACTATTATTGAAATTTAGAGAAGTCTTATCCTACAGTGTCATGCGCATGCAATTTATTGATGACATGATAGTTAGGGAAATTTCCCCAACTTTGGAATGCAATTTTGAATATGATGGAAATATTGAATCCTGTTTGGTAAATTCAACATATTGATCAGATTTTGGCAAAATTCACTTGGTTCCTTGGCTCCAGGGTTGGGTTTGAACATCAAATATTTTGGGTTCGGTATGGGTTTTGGTCGTGGACTTACTAAATCCAACGAACCATGACCTGATTATTATATGGCTGTTTTGGAATGTTTTAACTTATTTCCAAGTCTCTTTAACTGTCTACATTTTCTCTCTGCACTTGTGACCGCATTGCATATTTGCTTTAGGTGAGGTGAAGAAATTATGGTTTATAAACATAACCAGAATAGTTTCCTATTAGTGGATGTACTTGATTTTATGACATGCACTAAGTCTCTGTGCCGCTCTTTGTGTAGATTTCTAATTAAGGTCCTACTGCACCAATAATAAACGAAAGAAGGTTAAAATTTAAATAGAGAGTTGCCTAGAGATTTTAGTGAATGATTATTCTTTGTTTTCGTTATTCTCATTGTTTTATAGAATGTTTACAGTAACTAACATGAGAACAGCTCATGTACAGCTAGAGTTGCAACTGCATGGAGTGAGAACTGAATTAGAAAGTGTTCTCTAGGATAGGAATGAACTAGAAGAACAGCTATTTATGGCTATCAAAAAGCATAAAATGGTGAAGATGATGCTAGAAGAACTTGAACGTGAACATGACGAGACCATTGTTAGAATTCAGCTCTTAGAGGGTGAGGTAAAGTATTTGTCCATCAAGAAGGAAACTGATATTACATCTACGCTGGAATTTTCTGTGATTTTACAATTCGATGTTCTGTTTTGTTGACAAAAGATTGTTGGTATCACTGATGGTGTTTTTTGGTCCTTTGATATAATTACATTAGTAGGTCGTCATAATTCATCTGTTATTTTTCTTCTGTGATACCGTGTATTGTATAGATGAGATATTTCTATGAAATTTGTCCATTTGCCCATATCTTGAAATTATTTCTTTTGGAAAAGTTGATCTAGCTTCATTGTGTTGAGCTCGTTGGTGTGTCATTGTCTCGAAGTACCTAGTAGTCGATTGTGCACTACTCATGAAAGAATCAATCTTGTTACTAATTAGCACTAGATCAACGCTGCCACCATTTCTATATTAGGTTTGTTGGTAATATTTAACTAATATGAAATGTTAAGGCATGTTTTCCTTGATAAAGTACCTCAAGCATGACAAGAGAGAACTGGGCGAGCTGGTATTGTGTTCACCTGTTGAATGATTGAAAGATTCATGTGGCTGGTAATCTGGGAGTTGACACATTGCAAATGAGTCGAGGTCATACATAGAATTGACTAGAGACTATAGACCCCTTTTCTAGTACAATTTTAAGGGATCTATTAGCTTTTAGTTTAGAGGTTATCAAGCCACATGTAATTGGGTTGGAAGAGGGAATCTAACAGTTGTGGACCTGTTCCTTATATCTTTCTTCTTCTTTACATGTCTGCATTTTGGGGGAAGGTGTGTCAAAGTTTACATCTTGGTATCTTCAAAAGAAATAGAACTGAATATTATATTGTTATTTTTTGATGTAAATGACCATAACCATTTCTAGAGCAAAGTCATATTTTAGAAGGCAAAAAGCTACAAAGATTAGATTGTGAAAAGTAGACTAACTTTTTATGCATGTGTAGAGAAAGATATTAACAAGCCTGGGTAACATGGTTCTGGATCGAACACTCATAGAAATTCAACTTTGTTTACTGTTAATTTTCTTTAATTGCTATAAAGCAAACTAGATGCAACAGAGATGTAATACCTTCTGTATACATAATGGTTTCTAGTTGAAAGGGAGAAAATGAAAAAAGAGAAATCTTCCTTTTATCCTTTTTGACCAAACTGTGTCTTTGGTCCAACAGGTTCAGGATTTGAAGGATGAAAATCAACGGTTGAAAGAGGCCGAGGGTAGAGCACTTTGGAGCTACAGAGATAAAGGTGATACAGGCCATGGTCATGATACAAAGGACACTGATAAATTTGGGGAGTCGGGTTACAACAGAAACACTAACCGAGTGATGGAGCATGAAGACATTTGGGAAGAGGAAACACATGATTTTGTAAAAGAAGGGTTGAAATCGAAATCCTATGGACCCCACATCATCTCACAAGATCTAAACACAAGCGATATTCTGGCCAGACGGAGGGAGCTTGCTCTTTCCCAAAGCCTTTTCAGTGCAATACTGTCGCTTGTGGTCGGGATGATTGTATGGGAAGCTGAGGACCCTTGTGTACCTCTTGTTGCAGCTCTTTTTACCGTTGTCGCCATGTCCTTGATGAATGTTGTCCAATTTTTCGCGACCATTGATAACAAACCGGCATCTGATGCTGTTGCGCTCTTGAGCTTCAACTGGTTTATACTCGGCACATTGGCGTATCCAACATTACCGATGGTGGCTCGTGTGTTGGCTCCCCTAGCATCAAGTGTTGTTAAGCATATATTCATATGGCTTAGTCTGTTATAGATATCAAAGGTTCTTTTGTGTGTGCAGTTTTTTCTTTCTTTCTACCGTAGCAGAATCAATAGCATACCATCATGCCTTGTATTGTGCTTAATTTTTTATTTTTTTCATGCAAGGGATATTTTGTAAACAGCTACTCGAATATGTGTTCTAACAATTGTTAATGTATTTATCACGTTTGCATCTTTCATCGAGAGATTAAATAGTCACATGAGGGGAATATATTTGACGCTATCGAGAGAGACTTTCAATTAAGGAGCTGTCTGGGCGGGATTTAGAGTGTGTTTGGTAGGGATTTTTGAGGGAAGAATTGATTTTTGAATATTGATATAATGGGAAATGTGTGGTTGAAAAAGAAGAAAAAAGTATTGATGTGATGAAAAATATTATTTTATTGAAGAATGTGTGGTTGAAAATGAGAGTTGATTTACTGTAGAAAATGAGAATCTGTACCAAACAAGCTCTTAAAGTTTTTGGGAATTGATTTTTACATCAAATCATCATGGCCCACCATGACAATTGGTCCATATGACACGCTTTTGAATATAAAAGATTTACCATTTTACCCTCATTTATGATAATGTGGACATTTGTGTTATGAGAATTGATTCTTACTTCAATATCAGGGGGCCCACCATTGAAAAGTGGTTCATTTTCATGATTTTGAATGTAAAATATTCACCATTTTACCCTTATTTTTGCTACTGTGTACGTTTTTGCTATACGAGTGGTTTTTACAATTCCACGGCAATTACATGTTACCTCATTTGACATAACTTGGAGATAATGATGTGTATTCATGGTGCTAAACGGTCACATGCGTAGTAATTGAGACAATGTAAACACAAATACGCCTTCAACAACATTTTTTTCCCAATTTTCCGAATATGACGAGCAGTGCAAACAATGATATTGTAATGTTGTCGACGTAATTGTGATTTTGCTTCGTTTCAATAAGCACCTATTATCATTGTTGTGCCAAATAACTGCAAAAAAGATCCCACTCATTTCAGGGCGTTTTCAGTGCGTTCATATCAACTGCGATTTCTTAATGTTCGTCCCGAAGCTCCACCTCTGCAGCATCGGGCATCATGTGTATTCCCAGTTGTACCTGCCAACACAATTGTAAAACACAAATTAAAATCATAAGCTGCCAGGACATTTTGCATACGAATTCCTTTGCATCCAATAAAGTTCACTCGTTCATTCCGTGGGAGGACGACTCTCAAGTATGTGCCATCAATTGCACATATGCAATTCTCGAACAGTGGATGCTCGTTCGAATTTGGTATGTGATGCTCGGCATCGTGATTGTAGTTGGGATCTGGTTGAATTAGACGAGCAGAGCATTCAACAACAGCTTGAAGCACAATTTTGAAGTAGTGTCCTATAGTTTCCAATGAATGATTGAAAAGCGTCTGAACTTGTCTATAGCCTTTTCCACGTGCTAAAATGCAAATGAACATGCCTACATGTTCATATATGTCTGTGTTGCCCAATGCGCAACCCATACTCATCGCGAAGAATATGTACGAAACGTTCGTAGCATTGATGGATACATTCGAAATTTCTACATAGCACTGTTGAAGACTACACTGCATAGCGTCTAGCATGAACATATGACCATTTATAGTGAATGGAAATCTACGAATACAACGTCTTTGTTCACGATAGTAGTTGCGTATGGCAAGTTTGGCAATCCAACAGTACTGAAGCCACTTGATAATATCCTCATATAGCTCTTCGAGAAATGCCTCCTTCCTAACTTCGTCATCAGATTCGGAATCAGGCATCAAAACATAGTTGACATCGAAAGTTACCATCACACTACTCTCTATCACAATCTACACAGGACTCAGACATCAATATATTTGAAGAAAGGTAAGTTTAGCAGCCAATGCTTGCTAATGCATATACATTTGTGGAATTATGTTGCCTTTTATAGAATTTGGGCCATGATAAACTGTGTCAAATGGAATGATTGGTGCATTTAAGTGTAGTACAAAACCATCAAGAAAAAATAAAGTGAAATATGCTTGTGATGGGAAGTGATAATGCTTCCTACAATATTTGATTGAAAAGATAATGAAAACTCCAGATTGGGATCTGCTGTAGATATGCATGTGAAAAATCTATGTAAATCTAGCTCTTCTGCAATGCTAGTGACATAGCATGCATAAGTACACTATGTATACTCACAAGAACTGATAATAATAATGGCAAATGTTTTCACGTCGAACCCTGAAAGTTCGTAGTTTACCAACTAAGTTCGACCTTACGTGCGAAATTATTCTATTAAAATAACAAGTCACTTTTTAATAGTTTCTACATGATTAAACAAACAGTCCAATTATCCTAAGTTGAATTGCCACAGTTTATAATATGGAAAGTAATAAATAATGAATACCGATATGATGACGGAGAAACCCAACAAGGAAAAAACTCCGGGACCAAGCCAATTACCTTCACTATAGACAATATGGATTACAGTTCGTTTCCAACCTAGCAAATTCCACTAGTTCCCGCTATTGTAATTCATGTAATATCCAAGATCTGCTATTCCTCCAGACTCACGATCTGCTACCGTAGATACTGTCTAGCCAACCAGCTAGATCTCCCGATCCACCTCTTGTAGCTTCCAAGATCTGCTATAAATTCCATACTCACAATCTTCTGCAATTGTCTCTTCCAAGTGGATACCCAAGAATCACATATTCATATTCTTCTTCCTGTGCTTGTAGTCCAATCTCTCTCAACCTCTAGAAACTTCTGAAATCCAACTGAGAAAGTACCTTCTTCAAGGTGTTAAGGAAGTCAGGTGTTTTGGTTTCATGAACCTTGATGTTTTCCCAAAACTTGGTTGCCAGATCTCAAGAATGATTCACCAATGAATTGTGTTCTTGAATCTCTCAAAAGATTATGTGAATGTGTTATGTAATGTAAGCACAATGAAGCAACCACCAATTTTCGTGCAAGACCCTACGTATTTATAATTGGAGGTGTATGAGTAGTATGGGCTGTGTAAAACTCTCCAAAATCGTGAACTAGTATTCGCTGCATAATACTGTCGTTCGAGCGAAGGGAACATGTCGCTTGAGTGAATGGTCTGTCGCTCGAGTGACGCCTGGGTGAGCGATAATGGCTCTGTTTCTATCGCTCAAGCAATGGCCAGGCTTGAAGCTAGCGAAATTTCGACGCCGCTTTTTCCTTGTTTCCAAACTAGAACTTGAACCCTAAGCTACCTAACTCAACTATACAAAATTGCACTTTACTCCTTGACTATTACACATGTTCAATTAAGTCCTATTTGTTCACAAAATTGCCAATCACAATTTTGAATCTAACCCATTTCGCGGAAAATTGTTTTTCGAAAAACTCTCCACACTCACTGTGATTTTAATTTTCTGCACTACTGCTAGTTCCACTCGACCTACTCAAAATTTTCAACTACGTCGTCCTCATCTCCAACATCTCCTGATTACGCTTGAAGGAAAGGAACGTGCACGTCCAGTAATACTGATCAATTTTCTTTTTTAGTTTGCCCATCCCCAACAACTCATTCAAGCATGACATTGCATTTGGGACAGTAGGGCCAACTAAACTGTCGATTTTGGATGCGACATTCTTACTTTCCGTGGTATTGAGATCAACAGAGTAGGAAAGTTCTCGTGCTGATATTTTTTTCTTCTTTTCTTTTTTGTTCTTGTTAACCATTTTACGTTTGTCACCACTTCGCTAGCTGGAAAGATCCATGTTCGCACTAGTCATCGCCATTGTATTGGCCTCGTCACTTGAGCCGCTGATCTCGTCATCGAGTGGTACCTCATCACTATGGTCTTCGTATCTGCTATCTTCGAACATCGCAAAACCAGTTCTACACAGCTTTGTTAGTGTGATTGTGTACTTCTCACTATCAAACGTGTCCCCGAACAAAGCTTTGTAACCATAGATCTCTCTGCAGTCGTTGTCTTTAAATTCTTTGTAATCTTTGTTCTCCTGTGATAGAGGGTAGAAAAGAGCAATCACAATGATATACGGATTGTGATTTTCTTTTCAAATAAAAAGTACCCAACATCAAGCTCATTGCATCTTAATAAAACATTTGTGGACTGGACAAAAGTAGATAGTATTAACGTACGAAATCTATCGATGTCTCGAATAATTTCAGTGACCGCTTTGATCCTCGATTACATAATGACAGATACAAAACTGGAGTGTTGGCTTATCCATTAACTGTCCACATCTAAGATTAATTACTCCATTAACCAACATTGAGGATCATATGCATATAGCTACAAAACACAATAAAAACTCAATTTCTTGAACTAGATAATAGTAGACCATCATTTCAATTCATCAAAGGACCTTGAATCATCCTTTAGAAAACACCAAAAAATTTCAAAAACATAGACTCGTACTCAACAAAGAATTATAGGAAATGTTTTGATAATTCTCAATCATATTCTACAACGAAAACAAGGAGGCGAATCCAATAAATCATACAAGTACAACAAAACATGTAATAATGGCAACCAAAACCCGAACATAAACAAGCGATTGAAATAGAACCGTGGGCAGTTCATGTGAAATTTTTTCGGAAATAGAAACGATTGTACCTTGATCTTTCGACCCTACCACTCCTCGGAGGCGACAGTTCTACCCGTGGTAGTGTTGTGTTCTGTACCACTGCAATGAAGCAATTCCTCCAGCCTCTTTGTGTTTCAGATGAAGAGCATCCCAACGATTTTTAAGCTGCTACTTATTCCAATTATGATCGGAGTTCGAGTTGAACAAGTGAAGTAGTGTTTCCCAACCATGTTTGGTGAAGCACTTCTCGTTCTGGTGTCCTTCTGCGATGACTGTCTCGTACGCGGTAACGAAAATCTTGTTTTTAAATGAGTTCCATTGCTTATTCTTTCTATAGGGTACTTCGTTCGGACTTTTCAACGTGGCATTGGAGGTCGCCACGTGAGGATGGTAAGCCATCTACAACAACACAACGG